TTTTTTATCCGAGTAGGGTTAACAGACGGTTCCAGCAGTTTGGTGTATGCAGCTCGACCATTGGAGACTTAAGCGTTTACCGTTTGCGGTAGAACCGGGAGTTAACAAAACTCTCCTTCTGAAAAAGGGTTTCCAAGGATTAAAGGTCCAAGAGGACAAAAAGAGTTTGATCTTTGTTTTCTGTTTTTTAGAGAAGTATCTTTCATGGATGTTTGCAACTGATATCGCACTAGAGACTATGACCTGAGAGTGAATGCATCGCATGTCACCCAAAGGGTGCCATACTAAACATCCATACTGTTGAAAAGAAACTCTCCAACAATCCTTTCTCAAGTAGCTTAAGCCTCGTAGCGTACAACGTCAATTAACCTTTATTACTGTATTTTGATTTTGTTTGAAGATGAGAAGAGAAAAGACGCGCTAAAGGGGAACTGATCCAATCCTAAAGTTATCATGCAAAATTGAACTTATGGTTGAGGTTAGGAGAGAAGCTAACTAATGTTATCATGCATGGTTAGAATCCTAATGTCTGTCATAACTTCTTTTAAATAAGAGAAGTCAGAGTTCCTAGGGGAACATGGCAAAGGAAAACAAACAGTAAAAGAAATAATTGTAAAGAAACAACTGTAAATAAAATGCATGCAATGCAACACACAAGCAGAAGGAGCCAAGCTCAACTTCTAGAGAAAGCAAGCCCAAAGGCAACACACAAAACACAGGCAAGGGAGACAGACTCAACCTTAAACCAGCAAGCAAAGCCAGATAATAACAGTCAAGCAGAGGGAGACAAACTCAACCTCTAGATGCAGACAAGCAAAGGGAGTTATTCTCAACCTTTAGGATGCTCTTAAGCCTAGATTACTATATGAGAAACCTATTCTAATGCAACACACAGTCAATCAGTCACACAAGTAAAGCAGAGCAGTCAGAAAAAGCAGCAGACAAAACAGCTCAACTGCAAAGCAGACAAATAACAAACAATCAAACAGCTGCAAGCAAACAACTTCAAGCAATCTTCAAGAGAAGTCTTCATCTCCATGATCCAACAAGCTCCAAAAAAATGGAAGATAAATAACATCAAGATATTGGATTGATGATGGGAAGCAGGAAGGAAACCAAAGGAATCCAACCAGACACTCAACCAGTCATCTGAGAAGGGCATCCTCAAAGGTTCTACCTATTGTGAAATGCCACACATCCTTCCAAAGGAAAGATGAGGCTTTCACATAGGGACCTTGAATCATAGGATGAGAATGGAAAGCAATCAAAGCAATCCATGTTTTATATGAAGAAGGAGAGAACAATTAAGCTCTTCCTAAACCCTAATTGAACAAGCTCAAAGAAAGCTATCTAAAGAGAGGCCTAAACACCAAATCAAACATCAACATCAAGCAAACAGAAGCTTAAACATGTCTAAAACACCAACAAAGAAGATTACCAAGCTTATCATGCACTAAAGGCAACCATTAAAGTCATTCTAAAGCAAGTGCTATGTTGAAAACAACTTAAAACTAGTCTAAGTGTTAAATATATGAAAAATCCTAAAACACCTTCTAAAATCCTAAGAAAATTTATAAGGGAAACTAAACATGTTATGGACCTATGGGCAAAAGATCATAATCTTAATCTAAAGGGAAGTCACCTAAAGAAATCCTAGATCACAAGGTATCTAACTAAAACCCTAAAATAGAAAGTCTAATGATCCTAATCCAAAATAGAACCTAATGTTATCTAAAAAATCTAAATTAAATCATAAGGGATCATGCATCTTTAATCAACCAACTAGCAAAAAAATCAGCCCAAGATTCAATACCAATTGCAAGAACAAAAATCAGCAAAATCATGTATCAAACATACAAAATTAAAGAAATTAATAAAATGGAGAAATTCAAATTAAATTGAAAAATAAGCAAAAATCAAATGTAAGAGCATGGAAAAATCACAAATAAAATGAGGAGCATCGACATATTTTTAGTTTATTATTCTGATGATTAATGAAATTAAAATGAATTTTAGAATGAAAATGCAATTAAAATAAAAAAGAAAATCAAATAAAAGAATTAAAATGCCAGAAAATGTCACAGGCGTTGGATCAACTGACTCAGTCTCCTAATCTAAGGCTTGCCAGCGCGCCACTTCAGCTGCCACATCAGATTAATGAAACGACTTCGTTTCAATCCAAAAACTCAAATCCTCAGAATAAGACATGGTCGTTGGATGTGCATACAAAGTCCATCTTCAGGCTGGATCCAAGGGCTTAAACATCATCTTCTTTGTTTGAATGGGGAAAGGCGTTGGATTAATTAAATATGCCCTTTGTTCCTAATGAATCTCTTTGGCCTGCACATACTGATGAGGTATATCCAAAGCATTTCTGTCAAGTGATATAAAATAGCAGCACCTGCTGTACCAGACAACGATGTCATGACATTCAGTATGACATCAATGACAACAATTCTGTCATCAACTCCTGCTAGCTCTTGCTGCACCAGACAACAATGTCATGACATTGGTAATGACATCCTGTTTTAAAACACATGACAACAGTACTATCATCAGCTCCTGCTACACCAGATAGCGATGTCATGACATTGGTAATGACATCCTGTTTAAAACACATGACAGCAGTACTGTCATGACAGCAGAAGATGGATGTCATAACATTCAGCTTGACATCAGTGCAGAATCATGTTTTACCAAAATTTAGCCAATCATGAAACTAATAGGTTAAAACCTCAATAACATATTTTAGCCACGAAGACCTACTTTTCCTTACTCCCAAATCAACCTCAAACCTATTAGACCATCCGTTCAAATCCCTCAAACTCATTAAACTCACTAGAAAGGCAACAACAATTCAATACTCAAAATTCCTAAACCCTTAAATCGACTTTAAACACATTGAATCACATAAATTCCCAATAAATTTCCATAAATTCCCATAAATTCTTACAAATACCCCAAGGTCATCATAGTTCTCACAATCACTTACCCTACAAGGTTAACCAACCTCAAAAACAGATTTGGCCACGAAGGCCTAATTTCCTCAAACTCAAAAACCTCCTAAATCCTTAAATCGACTTTAAATACATTGAATCATATATTGAAAACAATGAAGGCAATAATCCCCATACCTTAATTGGCGACTCTAAACCTTTCTCCTTGATTCTTGGAAACCTCGCGAAGCTTTGTGCTCTATTTCTTCCCTTTTCACGGTCTAACAAGAATGAATCATAATTCCCTCAAAATTTCTTTTTGTTAAACCTAACTTTGGACCTTTAAAATGGGCTTTCCACTTTCACCCTCACAAACTCCTCCTCAAATATCCATTCTGCCCTTAAATTAACTTATATTTATTTAAATTAATAATAATACCATATATATTCATATTATATCCTATTATTTAAATAAATAACTCAAAACTCCATAATTCTCAATATTCACACCAACCATAAAAAATTACCAAAAATACGAATATTCATATTTAAATAAATTAAATAAATATTCCAAGAATTTGGGGTGTTACAATGATGCACATTTTGATAAAGATTGTAAGGTCCAAATACACAAGGATCTAAGCTACATAGTTTTACATCATTCAAAATACATTTAAGAGCATACTGCACTCACAAGATTAACTTATATACTAATACAATGTTAGCCGTTGACAACAGTTGCCTCCATAGAACTTGACACGTATACCCTTACGTGGATTTCATCCTTCTAGTTTGCTTTCACGCGTATTCAATATTTAAATTGCTGCAAACCACCTATCATGCTGATAACTGCCATTGAATCCCCTATCTTCCTCTATCGAGAATCTCTGGTCGACTCCTATTATGATGTCAAAATACCTCTAAACCACCTAATCTTTGGACTTAAGAATATGCTAAGTCCCCTAACAATCACGTGAATACGTTGAACTAGACACCACTACACCTCATCTCCACGTTGAAGTGTTGATTAGTGCAACCCATTTCGAGATTCTAGACATGTTATAAAGAAAGAGTGATCCTATCCTTATGAATCTGTTCTTGAGACTCTTTCAAACTAGGTTTCATGGGTGTTAAAATACATTATATCCCAGATCATCTGACAAGTTAGTCGAACCATCTTTAATCGACATGGTTAATATGTCGAAGTTATGTTTGAGTTTCTTGATACTTAGCATTTTCAAACGTGGTCATTACCATTCTTTGTTGAATTTCTTCAACTAAAATTTCATGGCTAACAACATCCCATTCTTAATTCAAGCATTTTTATCCAATTGTTTTACTGTTATATTTTCTTCATTTCCTTTATCCATTTGTGTTTAATCATTCATTCTTTCGATTCTCTATGTTGAAAAACCTTCCAACATTAATATACTTTTTTTGAAAACTTTAACACAGAACATCTTTTACAATTTTTCGAGTTTGATTCTTCAAATGAACTAAAACTCATTATTATTTGCTAAATATAATGATAAAAACACACCGATACCAAAAACACAAAAAGTTACGGTATTTCTCACCTAGCCGAATATTTTCCACCTCTTTCATTCACACAAGTGTTCACTATTGTTGAAATGAAACAATAAAAAAACACAATTGAGATGAAAAAAAAAGACAAAGAATAAGGAATGATATGCAATAGTAAAAACTAAAAAGATAGGTAAGATTCCAATTGTGATTTTCATATTTTTTTAGTTTTCAATTTAATTTATTTTCTTAATTTTTAAATAACTAAATTGTGATATTGATTATTATTTTATTCATTTTTTAACATAAAGAAAGCAACATCATCACTTTCATGCTAGTGCAACATCATCATCCTCTACAGGTGTCAAAATACAGCATCATCATTCATGTGAGGTGTAGTGAAAACGTTTATCACAATTTTCAACCGAATCCCACCCTGGTCTTACGCGATGCCCTTGTCCTCAGGAAACGCTCACAAAGTTCATGCAAACAACCTAAACATGGCCACACAACCCGAAAACAACACCACATTTCATCACAATGCCGAATCGCCAACCCCACCGCTCCAAAACTCGACCCTCGTCTTCATCGGTTCGATCCAAACCCCGCCCTAAAGACAGAGTTCCGCTCACAAAGCTACTCCGGGTAGCGTCAGTTGCCGGTGGAATTCAGTTCGGATGGGCTTTGCAGTTGTCTCTTCTAACGCCCTATGTTCAGCAGCTCGGAATCCCGCATGCGTGGGCCAGTATTATATGGTTATGCGGGCCGCTTTCGGGGCTTATTGTTCAGCCGTTGGTTGGGCATTTGAGTGATCGGTGTACCAGTCGATTTGGTCGGAGGAGGCCGTTTATCTTAGGCGGAGCTATTGCGATTGCTTTGTCTGTTCTTATTATTGGGCATGCTGCGGATTTGGGATGGAAGTTTGGTGATACGAAGGAACATCGGCGTTCGGCCGTCGCCTTTTTCGTGTTCGGGTTTTGGATTTTGGATGTTGCTAATAATGTTACTCAAGGTCCTTGTAGAGCTTTGCTCGGTGATCTAACCGGTAAATTTCTCATCTCTATCTATACGTGATCTTAGGAATGAAAACCCTAGTTTTATTTTGTTGCTGCTACTGCTGCTGAAATGTGTGAATTGTTCATTTCTTTTGTGTGGTATTGTAGCTCTGGATGTTAAGTAGTTCTGTGTTTCTGTCATTGTTGTGAGATGCTAGGGTAAGGTTGGTACTAATCTGCAATTTTCCCAAGTGTATGACAATTGGCAACATCACATGATTGCTGAATCTTGTGTATGCGTGCTCGGGTTTTTCACCTTGTGTGTCACAATGTTACTATGTGATTTATTTACATTTATTTGCCTATAACTACAGCAAATGTGATAAGCATGAATGCTTACTATTTAGTATAATCGATCAAACTTTGATTTGTTAAGTATTTTGGAACATGGTTTATTGTCAATTGAGCTTATAAGTTACAGCAGAGACATCTGGGATACCTCAGATAGAACTTGTTCAGATTGTAATTGGAAAGAGTTTAGTTTATTGACAAACCTTAATCACAAGTCAGTTGATGCTGTCATGTCATGCACTTCTATATCTGAAAAGTATATTAGCATTCCGATGGTTTTTAAGGGAAAAGAAACTAAACTTTGATTAGTAAATCCTCTCTCTCCATCCTGCTCTCTCTTTCTTAACTGTTAATTGATCTATTTTTAGTGGGAACTTTTCTTTTAAGTGTTTGAAATGAAATTCATATGCTTTTGGATGCTCATATATTTATATTTAGCAAAATAATTCATGTTGCGTGAATATCATGAATTCATATATCAATATATTCATACACACTAAAAGTTAAAATTCAGCTGTACAATTGCTAATGAAATTGGATTCAGGATATCAACTTAAAGTTATAGGCTCACATTGTAAATTTGTTATGTATTTGAACATCACATTTAAATCTCATTCAACAGAAGTTGTTTACTTCTAAAAGTTTGTGGGAGATTTTCTTTTGTTAAGGATAGGAGATAAAAAAAAGGTTTTTTTTTTTTTGTTGTTTACGCAGTTGTGACATATACTATAAGCCTTAGATGGGGTTTGGGTCTTAGTAGTTATAGGTCTAAATTCAGTTCTTAGGTTGGTGAATTGCAACTGGATTCTGTGACCCCCCTTAACAATTTGCATGGGTTATACCAGAATGAGTCAGATGCTAACCTGACAATCATTGCTACTCGATTATTTGGAAATTAATTTCTCTCTCACGTTCCTCTTTAGAGAATTAGACACCTAAATGATCTAAAGGTAGATGATGTTTCTGCTGTTAGATTTTGAAGGGATCTTTATATAGAGGACATTTCCTTTAAAACGGTTTTTCCTTGCCTGTTTAGTTCTTATTACTTTTTATCCTTTTCACCATTCTTCCCCTTTTGAATTTCTATGATAACATGGATTCTACCTTGACTTGAAACTCCTATTTAGAAAGTACTAAATACAGAGGTTTTGACAAGCACATAACTTTTGTCATCATCAAACATGCTGTAGTCTGTTATTTGTGGATATTATCATTTCAAGGAGAAAATGTAGAGCCCTTTTTGATAATCTCTTAAATATAGGAGTGTCATCATAGTCATGATGAGTACATAGTGTCTAAATAGATAATTTTTTGTACTATATGACATAGGAGTACTATATAAATGTTTTACTATATATATCCCATGTTTGTTAGACAGTATAAAAGGATATTATGTTGCATAACAAATTTTTGTATATATTTTGGATAAAATGATCCCAACCTGAAGCTAGGATATAATCAGAGTAGTAAAAAATAAATATGTTCTACATCGGCTGTCACCAGATTGTCTTCATATGCAGCTGAATGCAGTTTAGGTTAAATTTAAATGATATAGTAATTATCTTTATTTTAATTATCTTCACTACATTTTTTTGCAAAGGTGGCCTTAAATGTCTGAATAGAACTCTTAAAAATAGAAAAAGAAAAAATGAGAGTTTGTGTGAACTATAACTTTTGAAAAATGAAAATAACTCGGCTGTCAAAAGCAAATTACACATTTGACATCGAGAAAATCAATATTTTAGTTCTTGGAATTGCAAGGTTTGGACAATTTAGTCCCTAAATTGTAAAATAGCAATTTAGTCACCAAGTTTAAAGAATGTTGTTCAATTTAGTCATTTCCCTGAGTTTAGTAGCACTATTTCAAAGATTTTATGTTTATCTTGATGCAAGAAGAGACTATTTAAGATAATCTGTATGTCTTTCATTGGTTTGGATAGATGTTTTCTAAAAAATGTTTTTGGCAGAAGACTAAATTGATTGATGTTTTTTAGTTTAAGGAGCTAAATTGTCATTTTGCAAATATGAGGGATTAAATTGTCCGACCTGTACGATTGCAAAGACTAAAATGCTGATTTACTCCATTGACATCCTTCATGTTTTATTTATCTATCTTTTTCTTTTTTGGAATGCTAGGTAAGGATCATCGAAGGACACGTGTCGCAAATGCATATTTTTCCCTATTTATGGCTATTGGTAACATTCTTGGATATGCAACTGGATCATACAGTGGTTGGTACAAGGTCTTTCCTTTCACACTTACCCCTGCATGCAATATTAGTTGTGCAAATCTCAAGTCTGCTTTCTTTCTGGACATTGGTTTCATGCTCATCACCACCTATATCAGTATCATGGGAGCTAATGAAGTGCCTCTTGGGTCGATTGGGGCACTCGATGCTGAAGCAGAAGGGGAGTCAGGTGGTAGTGCGGAAGAAGCTTTTTTATGGGAACTATTTGGGACATTCAAATATTTTTCAAAGCCTATATGGATAGTATTGTCTGTTACTGCTCTAACATGGGTTGGATGGTTTCCATTTCTTCTATTCGATACTGATTGGATGGGCCGAGAAATTTATGGTGGCGAGCCAAATGAAGGCACTTATTATGATTCCGGAGTTAGAATGGGGGCACTTGGTTTATTGCTTAATTCAGTTGTTCTTGGAGTAACATCATTACTCATGGAGAAGCTATGCAGGAAGCGGGGGGCTGGGTTTGTGTGGGGAATTGCAAATATCCTAATGGCATTCTGCTTTATAGCAATGCTTGTATTAACCTATGTGGCTAATGACATTGGTTATTTAGGAAAAAATCTACCACCCACTAGCATCGTGATAGCTGCACTGACAATCTTTACTGTTCTTGGGTTTCCATTGGCAGTAAGTTGCTTTCTCTACTGCTAAAAGCATACTGTTTGTGCACTTTGTGTCTTTTATGTTCCTTGAAACTAACATCAGTCCATTTATGCATACATTGAAGAATATGTGTGTATTGAGAACCCAATATTTAATTTAATCTGACTCCCCAATTGTTTCAGATCACTTACAGTGTTCCATATGCCTTAATTTCCACACATATTCAACCATTGGGGCTCGGCCAAGGTGAGCAGGATTGATACCTTATGATTCTTTTGTGGAAGTATATGATTTTACAAATGTATTTATATTAATTGTTGGTACTTTCAGGATTGTCAATGGGAGTCCTAAATCTTGCAATAGTGTTCCCACAGGTATTGCCTCTTTCGAATATCTGTTTTTTTAATGGTTAACTTATTCACCCCTGGACGGAAATCCAAGTGAAGATATGTGAAATTATTTAGCACTTTCAGTAGTTGTTAATTGAACCAGTTTAACTTAAATTCTAAAAACATTATATCCGTTGAATTGCTTAGCATTCCCAGTAGTTGTTCAAGTGAACCAATTTGTCTTAAATAGTAAAAGCATATTATTTTGAATTAAATGTGTCAAATGGTCCCGGGTCTTGAGGGGACCACTCACAATTTCATCACAGGATAAAAAACTATAATTTGAATAATCAATTAATTGCGTTTGATACATGTATTCTAAACTTCTAAAATTTTTAGTGGCACAAGGCAATAAGATTATAGTCTGCAATCATGTACTATTGCTATGAAGTGGCCAAAATCCAAGCATGAAAACTTGACTTCTTGATCTCTCTCACTATCAGCACAGTGGTTTTCATGCTGGGCCAGATTTCTATGACTTTTGGGACGTGTTGTGAATAAGAAGCATGAAAATCAACACAAGAATCGTTACTGAAAAATTTAGAGCGTCTCATTACAATTGAAGTGTCGTGTCATTTCTGGTACAAGTGTCCAGTAAGGGTCTCACAGACATAACTCCTCCTTTTTAAAAGTATCGATGTTTAGTGGTTTTGACACTTGATTCACCCAACTCGTTCATGCTTTTATAGTTTCAGTGCATGACTATTACAATCTGCTCAATGTTATGATTAGAGAATAAAGATTACTAGATAGAAGAGAGGAACACAAATACAACAATAGGCCTGTTTGTTAAATATTATTCAAAAATCATTTTTGATGCTTTAGTTATGTTTGTGTCTAAGCTTTTTTTTAAAAAAAAATTATTTTTATGTTACAAATGAAATAGCTGTTTTGATTAGCTTTCAAAGAAAAAAAAATCCTTTTTAATAGAAGAGAGGCAAAACACAATTTATGGTGACTATGCCTTTTCAACCATATTAATGAAAAACTAATTTAATATGCAAAGTTTTTCAACTTGAATGCTTTTTCAATTATAATTTGTTTTTTTTTTTTAATCTCTAAATTATTCATATCAAAAAAGATTTTTAAAAAATCTTAAACAAACAGGCCCAATAAACCCCCTTCAACAAAAGCACTAAAACAAAAAATGCCCCAAAAAAAAACACTAAAGGTTACAGTCTTTGCATATCTCTAGAGAAGATTTTGTTAAAGAAACAATGGCCTGACAAATCCCCTTTAGCAAAAGCACAAAAACAAAAAAATCTCCCTAAAAAACAATAAAGGTTACAATCTTTGCATATCTCTAGAGAAGATTTTGTTAAAGAAACCATGGCCTGGCATTGGAGGTGTAGAGTCATGGAGAAATTCTTATCACAAAAGATTTAAGGATAAGAAAGAACAGTCAAGAAGGGTATGGACATTATGCTCCAGAGGAATACACCTTAAAAAGAAAATTTAGCACAACTCAAAGCAATTAAAATTGCTACTGAGATTTATTATATCTTGCCGACGCTTACTTATAGAAGTTATCTTATGTTTGTGGTTTAAAAAGTTTAATACTGCAGGATTTGCATTTGTATTAGTTACGGAGTTTATATATTTTTCATATTTGAAACAGATGATAGTGTCCTTAGGAAGTGGACCATGGGATCAGTTATTTGGCGGAGGAAACTCTCCGGCGTTTGCTGTGGCAGCTATTGCAGCTCTTGTCAGTGGAATCATAGCTGTCTTTGCTATTCCCCGAACTGGTACTCAAAAGCCTAGAAACCCAGTATGAGGTATCATGTTCGATTTGCTTTTGCCACCGATTTCTTTTGAAGATGGATTATGAAATTGAACAGGTAGAAATAATTTGTATATAATTATGTTTACACTTTAACTTCTATTATTAGTTGTTTTTCTATCAAGTTTTCCTTTCCCTTAGAACTCCCTCCCCATTTTTCTTTCAAATACGAATGACTGACTACATTGATGCATTTTCATCTGATTGGTCACTATTTAAAGCCAATGACCTAAACTTAGAGTGCTATTATTTTCTGAAGTTTTGGAAACTTTTCCTTGTTTTCTTCTTCTTGGTAATCCTGATGAGTGAGTGGTCTGTTTAAAATAGTGAGAATACATGTTTTGTTATCCATGGGGGACCATGTACTGGATGTAAGAAAGAATGAATACTCTTGATGTATAAGGATTACGGAACAATGTAAAAGAAGCAATTCATATTGCACTACTTTTTCAAACATCCTGACAACTCAAATGTAATCATAAAAGCTGTCACCAAAATATTGATTAGATTATCTGAATTCAGTGGGGAATTTCTTCATTGTAGATCTGTCCCACTTGTGAAAGGTGTTTCTTTTAAAGATTAAATGTGGTGGGAAAGTACTTGAGGCATCTTCTATAGGTTCCAAATTTACTTAGGCAACATCCTTTCCAATCAGACGAGTTGCCGCTGATTGGGAATATTCCATTCCACATGAAAAGTTCTCTTAGTTTGAGGCAATGCTGTGCATCGGTGCATCAGAATTGTTAAAAATCTGTGCAATTTGTTTATATTAGTTTCTTGAATGTATGCGTAATGGCCCTTATGAGTATGTTAATTGTGCTGATCGAAACCTTAATTTAAACATAACTGTAGACTCTAGAGACTAATCTGTCGAGATAACCAATTTAAGGGGCTTTTGTTGGTGATTTATAAGAGTCATTTAATGTGTACATTTAATTTATTTTGCTTCTTTTGAACCATGAAATGAATTCTCATGTTAAGTACATCTCACTCTTCATGAATGTCTGATTTGCTTTCAATTATTCTTGTACAATTCCTGTTACCAAGACTCAAAGAGCATTAAAAAAAATACCAACCTTTATATAATCATTTGTCCAAACTACTAGTGATCCGATTTTCGAACCATGTACCCGCTGCACAACTGGAATTTGCTAGTTTGGTTGGCCTGCAAAACTAGCAAACTTTGCAGGTTAATTATAGCCTACAATTCATTAGCGTTAACCGCTGATAAGAGAATTAAGTGTACAATGCTTACACTGTCAATTGTTTATTTAGCTTGTTGATAAAATTCAGACTATTAAATTTTCGATGCTAACTATTCATCTGCATCTTTCTGTTCTATGATGCAGATTTTACTACATTCTCATGTCAATGGAGAAAATCTCTTTTCTGGCGGAAGCATCCCACCTCACTTTAGCTGTGGAAAAGATTTAGCTGGAGGGTAACACAATAAGCGAATCTGTTAGAGCTACCAGAGGAGCATTATTGTTGCTAGTGCCAATATTTACTGTCTTTTCTGCAATAGGACTACCTGTTTTAAGATACATTATATATTTGACAAATATACCTTTTTTAGATAGACCACCACAGTAGATCCGAACTCCATCATTACATGATTTGGAGTTTTTATCTGTTTAAAAAAAAAAAATTTGAATCAAATCATTTGGGTGGGATATATCTAGAACATCCTGAGCAGCATTTCGAGACGGGTTATTTTCGAATTGATATAGTAGTATTATTAATCCATTCATTGGAACAAGAGTTGGTTTTAAAAATTGTCCAATTGTCAGAACTTGTGATGCTCTGGTTTATTTTCAGAGCATTGGGTTCCCTTGTATATGATACATATCTTTCATTTACATCAAGTGCATGAGCTAGAATACAAAGCAATGGAATCTGACAGAGAATTTTAATTAACTTTTCTAATACTAATCAATTAAAGATATGCAAGTAATTAATGAGTACCTCTAATGTTTCATATCTCCCATCTGTCTCTTGTCCATACGGCCAACTACCATCATTCTCCATTAACTGTGAACACCATCACAGGTGGTCCCTGTCCCTCCCTCCATGATATATACCACCAACACCTACCTCCATAATCCATACACATATCCACAAAATCAAATTAGATAAACTTTATAATAGTGTGATTACATATATGAGGATGAAAATTCACTCACCAAGAGTGTGGTGGGGCCTACATTAGATTGGAAAGAAAAGTTGCTTCCTCTGTTGTAGCCAAGGGAATGTTTGTGTGTTTGACACGGTCCGTCTATTTTTAGACTCTAGTTGCGTTTGGAATTTGGAATCAAACATAACATATCATGCATGTATTGCTTCAACAACATGCAATGCCAAACCTTTTTTTTTATTTTTTATTTTACAACCTGCCATATACGTATCTGTGTCTACCTTTTTGTTTTAGATACGAACATATAAATCTGTTAATTAAATTAATAACCATGCGAGATTAAACCCACCCACTAGTTTGGTTTGGGCCATCACTGTCAAATCAAAACTCTGTTATTGATTTGACCCCTAAAAAAACCATTAAACCGAATAAATCCATCAATCTTAAAGATAAATTCTCCTCACTTTTAAATTAAAAGAAGAGTTTAATATTAATATAATACTCTTTCAATTTTGAGAGAAAGCTAAAGTCGGTTGCCTCCCATTAGCCTCCACAAGCCATTTCTTTCATTTAGCGTAATCTTTTTTCAAATATATTTCACTTATATTCTTGATCAAATAACTTAAATTCTACCTATTTAAATATTATCTCAAAATGTGTTGGTGGTAAATAATTTAGTGTTACTTTTGAGAGACAAAATGTGTTGGTATAAGAGAAAAATAAAATGTCCCTTGTAACTAGTACACTATAAATTTTAGCATTTTGTTCCATTTATGACACGTTACAATTGTAGGCCCCCAAAACCTTTCATTCATGCATAAAAACACACTCCCACCTTCATCTTCTTCCTCCCATACACAAACACACAAACCATCCTCACCATTCTCTCTCTCTCTCAAAACACTTGTCCATCCCCTCTCTCTCTTTCTCTCTCTATAACTTGTGTACATATCCAGCACTATGTGTAATCCCATTCCGAAACCATCCTCAGCATCTCCATTTCTGTCTCCCACACAAACTCACCTCATAACTCCAAACCCAAAACCACTCCTAAATTGTCCTTCTCATGATGAACTTCACCATCAACATGAACTTCAAAGATGGCCAACTCCAAATGAGGTATAATCCAATAGAACAAAAACAATAATCACTTATATTAAATGAAGTTGGTAGCTAGTTGCTATCATCAACACTCTTTAGTCACAATCACATGCCATTTTCATGATTAACAAACAAACATATATTAATCATTTCTCTTTTTTTTTTTCTGCATTAATATTTCAGGTGATAGAAGAAATGAAAGCCATAGGTAAAATATCAGTTCCAACAGCAATAACTGGTTTACTCTTATACTCAAGAGCCATGATCTCTATGCTTTTCCTCGGATATCTCGGCGAGACACAGCTTGCAGGAGGTTCTCTCTCTATAGGTTTCGCAAACATCACCGGCTACTCTATCATCTCCGGTTTAGCCATGGGAATGGAACCTATCTGTGGACAAGCTTATGGAGCTAAACAATGGAAGATACTCGGTTTAACTCTTCAAAAAACAACACTTTTGCTTCTCTCTACTTCAATCCCCATTTCATATCTATGGCTTAACATGAAAAATATTCTCTTGTTATGTGGTCAAGACCAAGAGATTTCATCCACAGCACAAACTTTCATCATGTTTTCTTTACCAGATCTTTTCTTTCTCTCCTTTCTTCATCCTCTTCGTATTTACCTAAGAACACAAAACATTACGTTACCATTAACGTATTGTTCAGCTGTATCTGTTATTCTTCACGTTCCTTTGAATTTTGTTCTTGTAGTTCATTTCAAAATGGGTGTTGCGGGGGTGGCAATAGCAATGATTTGGTTTAATCTTAATCTTTTGATTTTTCTTTGGTCTTTTGTTTTTTTCTCTGGAGTATATAAAGACTCATGGGTGTTCCCTAGTATGGAATGTCTCAGAGGTTGGTCTTCGTTACTAAAACTTTCGATTCCGTCGTGTGTTTCTGTCTGTTTAGAATGGTGGTGGTATGAACTGATGATAGTTTTGTGTGGACTTTTGGTCAACCCAAAGTCAACGATTTCTTCAATGGGTATTCTTATTCAAACAACCTCGTTGGTTTATGTTTTTCCTTCTTCTCTTAGTCTTGGTGTTTCAACTAGAGTTGGAAATTTGTTAGGTGAGAATTCTCCTTCAAAAGCACGTTTTTCTATGATAGTGTCCATGTTTTGTGGCTTTGGTTTGGGAATTTTGGCTATGGTTTTTACTATTTTGATGAGAAATCAATGGGGGAGATTGTTTACAAACGATGAAGAGATTCTGAATCTAACGGCTATGGTTTTGCCAATTGTTGGGCTTTGTGAGATTGGGAATTGTCCACAGACAACAGGGTGTGGTGTTTTGAGGGGAAGTGCTAGGCCTACGGTGGGTGCAAATATCAATTTGGGTTCTTTTTATTTGGTGGGTATGCCGGTTGGTATTTTCCTTGGGTTTGTTATGAAAAAGGGCTTTGTTGGGCTTTGGTTTGGGTTGCTTGCGGCCCAAGGCTGTTGTGCGATTCTCATGTTGTTTGTTCTTTGTAGAACGGATTGGAATAATCAAGTTGAAAGAGCTAAGAATCTCACAAAAACTACAACAAATTCTACCTTGTTACCAACATTCATCACAAAAAATGTACTATCTCATGAAGGCAAGAACATCGTCAATCACCGTGGTTGTCTTGAAGAATCCATAGGAATCACACACCATGACAAGGACGATGATTATGTTACCAAAAAATGTACACAGTCACTTGAAACAGACCCACTATTATCAAACATGTTAACACTAAGTTAATTAATTAACTAGTCGTGTTTGTTTTTTTTCTTCCATTAATCGGATTGTAATGTATAACTTAACTTATTAATGTATGTTTGCATATATTACCAAAAAAATGTTCAAGTATTAATTATATTTATGTTAGCTGTGCAATCGTGAATTCGAATTTATTATACTAATATATAGTAATGGAAGAGAGAGAAGAAGATGTTTAAACTCCACAGGACCGAGAAGCATTGGGTTGTTGAGATGTCGGTTGAAGAAAAACAAAATGAGTTTTTTAATTTTTTTTCTGCCTAACTTTTATGTTGTTTGTTTCTTTCCATAAATGGTAACTTTTTGAGTGTCTATAAATGGAAATACATTGTCTAACACAGTTGGAATCAGCATCTAAACACAAGCATGGTATTCTTATTCTTAGTTAATCTCTTTATTTAGAAGTAAATAGTGAAGGGAAAATCTAGTATATATCATAAACTATCCCAATCATAGTATGATAAGGAAAGTTACAAACATGATTGACTTCATTATTTATCACTAAATTTCAAGGGATCTTAAGTCTAATCACAGATTCTATTAATCTTGTCGTACAATTTCGTAATCAAGTGCTCACTGTTATATAAACTGCCATTGGCCTACCATAGGGGGATGTGCCTCTATATATCTAAATAATTCATTTCTCACTTCCAACTTGCTCCATATATATATATATATATATATATATATATATATATATATATATATATATATATATATATATATATATATATATATATATATATATATATATATATATATATATATATATATATATATATATATATATATATATATATATATATATATATATATATATATATATATATATATATTCTTTAACTGATTTATATTATTTTTCAATAAAAATATGGTAAATGTATTTAAATATCATTCTAGGAGTGAAAATAAGAAGATATTGCATGTGTAAAAATAAATTATATCTTTATCATATTTTCATTTATATGTGTATAGTTGATTATGCTTTCAAAATTTAATTTAATTTGAAGATATGATTTGTGCTTTTTAGTCTAAATATGTTTTTTTAAATTAAAATTTATTATTCAACTTACATTTTAAAAAATTTATCTGAACATAAATTATTCTACTTTCAACTCGCATATTTTAAAAATTTCAACGCAGAACCAAACACATGTTTAGCAATATAAAAATTTATTTTAGAGTAAAAAACTTCAAATCTTAACTTCAAGTAAAATCAATGATAACAAGGCATAATCAATTCTAGAACAACCAAATTAATATTGCTAAAATTAATTTAAATGCTTCAAATGCGAAATCAAACATACATTAGGTGTGTCTTTGGTTATGTGATGACAATAATTGTTTATGAGTGAATTGATTTTGGTAAAAGTGACTTGAATGTAAAATGATTTATGTTTGATACATTTATATAAAAGTGAGTTGAAAACAAATTTCAGTGTAACAATTACGTTAATTTAAATCCTAAAATTATAAATTTTAACTTTAACTAAAATCAATTCTGAAAGCAAAATCAATTTTACTTTTGAGTATAAAAGTAAGTTGAAATCAATTTTACTCTAACATAATATCCATTTTATGTTAACTTTCAAATGACTTTTAACTAAAAATCAATTTAATATAATGAATTAAATTTTCATGAATTATCTTACTTTGCAGTAAAAAAAAACGCATGTTAAATCAATTACTCATGCAAGGCTTTATGATACATGTAGGTGGTAAATATGATATCTCGGTTAGGTTTATTAGGACCACACGCCTACATATCTGCATGAATGACAAATGTCCGTATAAGAAAGCAATAGATCTAAAAAAAAGTATTTTGAAGAATTTAAGCTTAGTAGCTAGAAATGAGAAGCTAGGACCAGTGGAGGACGAGAAGTAATAATGAAAGTGATAGTAGAAACAGAAAGATGCACGTTTGCTAGGACTGTACATTGTTAGTAATGGTCTTTATGTACGAAAGAATGAGATTGAAGACAAACAGAGAGAGACAAAGAGACACGCAAATAGAGAGAAGAAGGTATGATAAGAATAATTGGTATGCATGTAGAGAATTGTATGTAATGTATGTATATCTATATACTCAACAACAAGGGTTTTGGTTGGAACTTGAGGGGCCATGTTAGAACTGCACAAACAAAATCAAGCTATTATTGCCTGTCTACTTCTCACATTACAAATATATTCCACCAACACCACAAGGATACTATTATTATCATTATCAATACGGTTTGGATTTTGTGTTCTGTGACTGTCAAACACAGTCACTTATTCAGACTATTTAGATTCCAATCTATTTCAAATTTTAAACTATGGTTTAGAATTAATGATAAATTTAAAACCACTATACAGTGTTGGCTCAACATAAGGAGGGTGGTGAAAATACTATAGTAAACAAAATTGTAAATAGAATATTATATTTAAAATGTGTATTATATGTATTATATTAATATTTAAAATGTGTTATTTTTAAATGTATTATTTTTTGAAAAAGTTTATTAAAAAATAATGAATATGTATTTATATATATTTTAAATGTGTTATTTTTAGTAAACCAATTATATATATTATAGAATATTATATTATTGAATATTTATTATATTTTAGTAAACATAATATATATTATTTTAGAAAAAACAGATTTTTAAAAATAATGAATATATATTATATTTTAAATGTGTTATTTTTAATGAACAAGTTATATATTATATTTTAGAATATTATATTTTGAGAATATGTAGTATATTTTAGTAAACATAATTTATATTATTTTAGAAAAAAATAGATTTAAATTTGTGTCTAAGTAGATTTAAAATAGATTTTAACGAACATATTTTATTAGGTTGGTGCCGAAATAGAAAAAATAGATTTAAATTTGTTAAATTAATGTGAAAAGAATTATATTATTTTGCATATTAAAATTACATATTTAATATTTATCATGTGACTAAATTACATATCTTTCATGTGACTAAATATTTTTCATATTTTTCATGTGACTAAATATTTATATTTTTCATGTGACTAAATTATATATTTTTCATGTGACTAAATATTTATATTTTTTTAATGTATATTATTTTAATTTTTTAAATTTTATAGTTAATATTTAATATTTTTTTAATTTTATAGTTGTTTTCAATTAATATTTATTATTTTTTTATTATTAAATTTTATAGTGAAGTGTAACCCATGTCACTAATATAAAACATATTTTCATTTGTGGCATGCAAATCACGTCACTAATTAGTGACGTGGGAATTCCATGGGAAACAATTTAATTAGTCTGAAAACCAAGTAACTAATTAGTGACGTGATATTCACGTGGGAACTTTTTCTATTATTTTTGTTATTTGCGACGTGATACCCATGTCACAACTTAGTGACGTGTTTTTCACGTGGGAAAATGTTCCCACCATTGCTTTTCCTACATGTTTTACCCACGTCGCAAATGTTGCTTAGTGAAGTGTTTTTTAGGTTAGTGACGTGAAAATCATTTGGGAAAATGCAATGTTTCTTGTAATGCTAGTTACTTTCATGCTTACAATAAGGGCAAGTTTAGGAGGAATGTAATTTTAGTTCTTAAGTTAGTTGATGCTTGGGTGGAAGGGGTGTCTGAGATTCGTCAGGAGGTGATCAATTAGTTTCCTAATCATTTAAGAGAACATCTCTTTGACCGCCTAGGTTGGATGTGATCCTTTTTACATCTCTCTCAAAGTAGGATTGTGCTAAGCTTACCACCCTTTTTCTTTTAGGTGAGATTAAATAGTCTGTTGCTTTGTGTGATAGGTAGGTATAAGAGTCTTGGAGCAAATGTGTTCATTTTTTCTTTTCATATGAGATTTTGGCCCATTCTTAGGGATGAGTTTGTGACTATGTTCGAGCAATTCCACTAAGTTGCTTCTCTTCCCCATTTCTCGTTCTTTTTAGTAACCTTGATTCCTAAGGTCGTTTCTCCTTCTCAAATGGGAGACTTTCAGCTTATTTCCTTGGCAAGGCCGCTTTATAAAATCTTGGCTAAATTCCAGTGAACAAACTAACTAGTGTTATATATAAGTTTATTTCTTTTAACCAGTCCTTAAAGGTAGGCTTCTAGTATATGGGATTGTAGCTATGAATGTCGGTGAATCTAGCTAAGAGTAAAAAGTCTTACATTATTTTTAAAGTTGATTTTGAGAAAGTTTATGACTCGGTTAGTTGATCATTTCTAGAATATATGCTTTATAGATTTGGTTTTAATGATAAGTGGATAAGTTGAATAGGCATGTGCGTTTTTATGCTAATCTTGAGGTCTTGGTTAATAATTTTCAGACCAATGAAATTAGCATCTAAAGGGGGTTAAAACAAGGTGATCCTTTTGCTCCTTTATTTTTTCTCTTGGTAGTTGAAGGTCTCAATGGACTGTTCTCTAGGACCATGGATCATCAAATATTCTCAAGTCTTCGTGTTAGGTCCTCAAACTTGGTTGTCTCTCATCTTCAATATGCGGATGACACGATTATTTTGGCGGATGTCTCATACGAGAACCTCTGATCCATCAAGGTTATTCTCTGAGTTTTTGAGTTAGTCTCAGGCCTACAGGTGAATTTTACCAAGAGCAGTCTCATTGTGGTTAACTCTGATCATACTTTCCTTGACTTATCTTTTGATTTTCTTCAGTGTCATCAAGAGTCTCTCCCGTTCAAGTACCTAGGTCTCCTGGTGGTATGTGTGTGTGTTTGTGTGTGTGTGTGTGTGTGTGTGTGTGAGGGGGGGGGGGGGAATCCTTGTTTGTCTCTTATGTGGGAACCCTTGGTTAACCTTATCACTAGGAGACTTCACTCTTAGAGCCATATCTATGTCTCTCTTGGAGGATGGGCGATTCTTCTCAATTTTGTTCTTAATATTATTCCTATCTCCTTTTGGTCTTTTTAAAAGATGCATGTTAATATTTGAAAAAATATTGTGAAAATTCAAAGAAGGTTTTGTGGGGTGGTGTT